GATCCTCCCACCTCAGCCTCCCAAAGTGCTGGGACTTACAGGCATGAGCTGCCACACCCGGCCACCTCTTACACTATGATACTAAACGTTTCTCTGTCACATCACCAGGAGCCCAAAGACCAACAAGGCACAACCTGGCGGCCTGCGGCTTGCCGTGGGACTAACTCTCAGATGTCAGAAGCCGGGGTGAACACCTAGGAGCACGAAGACTGCTTGGGACCGAGGCCGAGGGCGGACCCTGGTCAGACTGACCTGGCATCTGCAGCGTCTGCTCACACTGCCCCAGGCCCCCAGAGCAGAGCTGGCATCGCCCACAGTCTTGCCAACATGGGACTGGTCAAAACACCCACAGAAGGACAAAAACTACAACTCATTTTTTAAAATGTCGCTCTCTGGTGGGGGCTGCCTCCCCCTTTTCCTCAGTAACTCGTGTCTCTGCAGGCACCTGCTGAGGTCCCGGCCTCGCTCCCTGCACACGTGGGCTTGTTCTCACTGAGCAAGGGAGACCTGGGGCCCAGGACAGGCCTCCTGAGGCTCCTGAACCCCGACTTCTTCCCTCTTCTCAGGTTTGTAACTCCTGGTCCGACACACTGCCCATTCCAGCTTCTAGTTTCTTTTCTTTTTAATTTCTTGAACTGATGCCTGGGACGTTCGCTTGCTTCTTAGGTTTGGTAGCAGCAGCACTTTGGGATCTGGCCACATCGCCTACACTTTCATCTGTGCGTATTTCATGAGAAAAGCGTCTCAGAGGCCTAACAGCACAAATGTGTTTGGTTAACTTCTTAGGACCTTCTTGTTTACTGAATTACGGTCAGAAAATGTGGCCTTACACTCCATAACTACTGTCTAGAATTTCTATAAATGTCTTAGAGACCCTTATAAAGAATATGCATTTTCTGAGTACGAGATTGAACATAATTATTAAATCGACCTCACACTCCATGTCCTTACATTTTTATTCGCCAAACACTGAGAGTCTCTTTAAATGCAGTACTTAAGTTTTAGCAAATAACAGAGTATACAACAGCCCAACTCCAAAATCTTTTAAAACTTCCCAAATATATCAAATAATTAAAAATAAATAAGCTCTTGCCTACCTCTAGCTGTTTTTCTTTTTCCTTTTCTTTGAATTTTAACTCCAAGTCTTCTAAGTAACGGCAGCGTTCAGACTGTAGGTCTTCACGCAACTTTTTAATGGCTGCTTCATACTGAGCTTCCAGATTCTCAAGAGTAGCTGGAAAGCAGGACAAATGCCACTTAGTTTACGACAAGACATGTTCCTCCTCAGCAGTAACGTCGGTCCACACAGCACTGCCCCTCGAGGCTCTACTCTGGGCTCTGGCAGCAAGGGCCCCGCCCACAGGGGCCACGCAGACCCGTCCTCGGCCCCTCCCTGCCCATCCCCTGGGGAGGAAGGGACGCCCACAGACGACATGCAGACAGCGCCACCCAACCCACAATGTCATCCGACCCACGGCGTCACGTGGGACACGCAACCCGGGAGCATCAACAGTGGCCAACCGTGACGCTGCCGCCACGGTGGTCGCTCGGCAGCCGAACGTGCAAAGCATCTCTCTACAACAACGGGCAGGAGGGCCAAGGACCCTGAGAGGCCTCCGGCACAAGTGTGCTCAGCTGTCCGGCGAGTAACACAAAGGCAGGAGATGCGTGCCAGGCTCCCATGATGAGTTATGTGACACTTCCTCTCGTCTCACACAGGAAAACTCGCTCCCACTTCAAACCTGCTCGTTTTAATTAGATGCTCACATTCAGCCTGGTTTTTGGCTTGAAAAATCTTTTCCAACTCAGCTTTCTGTTCTGCCAATTCTTCCTGAAACTGGCTTCGTAAATCCTCCATTTCTAACTGATGCTTTGCAGATAACTCTTTGCGTAGCTTTTCTAAGCATAAATCTCTTTCAGATTCCCAGTCTTGCTTCAGAGTCTAATTTGAAAGAAAAAGGAAATTAGAGTCAATAGTTGATTATCTGTGGTACAGAGACTTAAGTCGCACAGTCAAAAGCCAAGAGTGCGGCCTGGCGGGTGACTGGCTCCTGCAATCCCAGCACTCTGGGAGGCCGAGGAGGGAGGATCACTTGAGATCACGAGTTGGAGGCTGAGGCAAGCTCCAATTGCACCACTGCACTCCAGCTGGCGCAACAGAGCAAGACTTTGTCTCAAAAAACAAAACAAGGGTGGGCAGTCATCACCCCCAAACTAAACTGTCCCCAGAAACGGGTTCTTGGTGGCCAGTCAGTCTCTCTAACAATGGCTGAAAGGACAGAAACAGAAGCGTCTGGAGGCCCAAAGAACAAGAACAAAGACCACCTGTCCCAGGATAGAACCGGCCTGGGGATACAGCGTGGCATCCACGCAGTTGCCCTCAAAGGCTCCTGCACCCGTCTCCCTGCAAGACCCAGGGAGCAACAGCGACTTTGCCGACGTCTGCCTGGGGCTGGGCTCTGTCCCCACTGCCTGGGCCAGAGGGGCAGGAGGCCGGAGCGCCAGCCGAGGCACAGGCTGACAGCCACTTTCCAACCATGGGCTGAGGGCGCAGCCAGCACGCCTGGCTCAGACCACACCTCACACTCAGCATGGGCTGGGGGCTCACTCCCTTCCACCAAGGGCCTGGCACCAACTCCGTGCCACCCATGGTCACAACACCTCCCACCCACCGACAGCACCCTGCCCCTCCAGAAAGCTCTTCCAGGGAGGTGCTCCACGCAACGCCCAGCACCTGTACCCCAAGCATTTCCCTGAATTGCCACGTCCACCTCCCTCTACCAGACACACGTCCGGGGGGACAGAGGCTGAGTCCCAGAGCACAGCTCAGGGCAGGGCCATGGGGCCATGCAGAAACCCAGCCTGGGCGGGACAGGTGAGTGTCGCTGTGTTACAGAAATCAACGTGAAACCACAAAACAAGTCTTCTGACAAATACAAATTACACAAAGAAAAGAATGCTATAACACTTTCAACTGGCACATTCCAACAAAGCTGTGATCAGATTCTGTCTGAATCAAGTGAGGGCAAGGACGGGGGCTATGGGGTGTGGTGAGAAAAGAAAGACAATACACACATGAATTACGTTGTTTTTTCTTTTTAAAGAGAAAGTCTCGCTCTGTCACCTGGGCTAGTACACAGAGGCACTGTGACAGCTCCCTGCAGCCTCCAACTCCTGGCTCAAGATCCTCCCGCTTCAGCCTCCTGAGTTGCTGGGACCACAGGCGAGCACCAGCACACACTGGCTAATTTTCTCTATTTTCAGTAGAGACGGGGTCTCAGCTATTGCCCAGGCTGGTCTCGAACTCCTGACCTCAAGCGATCCTCCCACCTCGGCTTCCAAGAGTGCTGCGATTACAGGCACAAGCCACTGCACCCAGCATGAATTATTTTTCTAATCAATCATATTACCTCTATCATTTGGACATTTTTCTCCATCTCTGAATGTAACTTCTCCTTCAGCTCAGCTGCAAGAAATAAAAAAAGTACCTCAGACCACTTAGTCTCAACCTTTCCAATGAATGCACCCACTGGCCACTCCATGGGCACCTGCCGACCTTCCCGGGACAACAGGGCATGTCTGTGATGCGTGTAGTTTAAATAACAAAGTGTACTTCTGCCACAGCTAAGCCCAGCCACATGGGACAACATAAGAGAGCAGGTAAAGGTCAGTCGCTGGGACCCCCCTCGTCACTGACCACCTTGAAAGTTGCTGTAACCTCTGAACACGAGAACCCTGCGGCCCTTAGCTCAGGCTCCCACCAAGGCCAATTCCAGGTGAGGTGCTGGGGGCAGCTCTAGGGTCCAACAGCCTCCAACCCCAAGAGGGAAGAAGCCCAAGAAGACAGGCTCGAGCAAGGACTTGGGTGGTCAGACGCCTCCTCAGGAACCGCAGGTATTGGGCAGAGGAAGGGGCAGGTGTGACAAAGGTGCATGGGCCCGAGAGGTGGGCGCAGCACACCCGGAGATCGGGGCAGGAAGAAGCAGCAGGACCTCAGGACAGGTGAGCACGGAGTACCAGAGACAGCGCCCGGCTAGGAGGCAGCCCCACAACCGAGGATGAGGCCTCTGCGGGCAACGTGCTGCCACGTCCAGAGGGCCAGGCAGGACCCCCAGGCCAGCCACACGCGGGACCAGGGACCAGAGCGAGGCAGGGCCTCAGCAGACTGGCACGACGCTGCCCAGGAGCACCCGCAGAGAAGCGGCAAGAGGAAAAGCATGTTTTATATTTTAGAAAACGAGGGAGGAAAATAAAAATATATATTTGTGCTTGCTTGAAACTACATGAACAAACATGGGAGGGCGTCACAAGAAATGAAGAAAACTGGTCCCCTGGGGTGAGGGCGAGTGGCAGGTGGCCAGTGCAAAAGACTTTCCGGCACACCCGCAGCTGGAGACCCGCAGCTGCCTCCCGGCGGCAAGCAGAAGCGGCTGCATGGGTGCAGGTTCCCCTGGCGATGGATGCTCCAAACTGGATGGCTGTGAGCTGTGGCCGTGCTACAGGGCACCACACTGTGCACTTTAAATAGGTGAATTAAATCTCAATAAGGAAGACGTTCACAAAAATAGTGACTACCTCAACAAAAAGAGCACCCAAAACCATTAAAATTAAAACATAAAAGTAAATATTGCACATAAAAAGAGCTCAGTTTAGGCCAGATAATCAACAAATTTAAAAGCGCCCAAGTCAACCAGTAGATTGCAGCCACCCGCTTCCTGTCCACCCGTCTGTCCACACCTGGGTGTGAGCAGCGCCCGCTTCCTGTCCACCCGTCTGTCCACACCTGGGTGTGAGCAGCGC